GGACTCCAGAGCTGCCCCAGCACTGCAGGGGGGTCTCACAGAGCTGGCAGAGGGGCAGGATCCCCTCCCTGCCCTGTGCCCACACTGCTGGGGGACAGCCCAGGCTGGGGGGGCTCCTGGACAGCTCCTCACCCCAGCACCCCCAGGGCCTTCTCCCCAGGGCTGCTCTCCAGCCCCTCACCCCCAGCCTGGGCTGGGACCGGGGGTTGCCCTGACCCAGGGGCACGACCTTGCCCTTGGGCTTGTCAAACCTCCTGAGGTTCACACAGACCCACGTCTCCAGCCTGTCCAGGTCCCTCTGGCCAGATCCCATCCCTCCAGCACATCGACTCAGCCTGGTGCCTTCTGCAGATCCTCTGAGGGTGCCACAGTCCCACTGTGCCTCTCACTGACCCAGCCCTGGCCCCAGCCCCGCCCCCGAGGAGTGCCACTGTCACAGCTCCACACGCCTCAGCCCTGGCCAGAGCAAAGCCCTGCTGGGAACCCCACAAAGCAAACAGAGACTTTCGGTTTTGAGTAGCAGCAGCACAGGAGGAAATGAGTCACAGGCTGGGACACAGAGCAACTTGTCAGACAGGCAAATGCTCCTCTCTGCTCGGGGTGACCCCTCCAGACACGCCGGGTGACAACCGAGCAGCTCCCACCCCAGCCCCCAGCCCAGGGAAGAGCTCAGGGCCACAGGTATGTGACGTCTGGGGAAGGGGAAGGTTGAATTGACTCTAGCCTGGGTTATCGTGGCTTTTGCTTTTTGTTTAGTCCAAGCCAGGACTAAAGCAGGAAGTGATGAGAGGTTTGGGGGTGGTTCAGGGCAAGGCCAGGTCCCATCTTTGGCTGGATGTGGAGTTAGTGTTGAATTAAGCTGCAGCTCCACGTGCATTTGCTCTGGGTTTCTCCTCCTCACCCTGTGCCTCTCCATCTTTTTCTTCCAGCTGGTTAAGGAAAGCAGGGTCTCCATAGTGCAACAACAGCCTCATGGCACTGGAGGAGATGTTGCAGTGTCCCTGGGAAATTCCCACAGTTTTTTACACCAGTCAGGTGCTCTCTATGCAAAGCACTGAGTAAAGTCGGGCTGATGAAAATGATTGGCATCTGAGGCTCTTCCCTAGACATTAGAAGAAGGGGCTGTGATCAGCAGTGTAACCCTTTAAAAGTGATTTCTGCCCTTTTTCTGCATTCCCTTGTCTCTCCTCCCTGTTGCCCTTTCCCTCTGCATCCCCATCTCCAGGTCGTGCTCCAGTGAAGAGGATGCTCTCCAGTTTCCACCTTATGGCTTTCCTCACACATGGTTTGGTTTTACGAGCTCAGGAGCTGCACTCAGGTAGGGATCCCCCCCGCTCCTGCTGGTCCCTGGGGCTTTGCTTCCAGCTTGGATATCTTCCTGGCTGCCAGAGCAGCAACACCCCATGAACAGCAGAGCATTGAGCAGGGTCAGGCCCTTTGCCACAGACCTTGTCCCCTTCTGAGAGCCTCAGCATCCCTCTGGATCCTGGCTGGTCCCTGTGGCCAGGTCAGCACAGGCATTCACAGCTGACTTGAACGGTACCTTGGAAAAAAAACTCATTTTGCTTTTGTTTTCCTTCAACCAGAAACCACTTTCTGTGTAAGCCGAGTGACCGGCTTATTAATAAGCACTTTGTTTGTTTTGTTGGGTTTTTTTTAGTTTCCAAAGATGCCCAAAGAATCTGAGATGTTTTCCTTTTCTCTTGTAGTAGCTGCAAATAGCTGAGGGTATTTCAGTTTCGGTTATACCCAGACTGCTTTCCCTTTCTCTGCTGGTTTCCCAAGCTCAGTCCCTGCAGCAAACTCACCATCATTCCTTCTTCCCCCGGGGGTTTCTCCCAGCTCAGCTCCAGGTGGCAGGACCCTCGGGGCCCGTGTCCGTGGCCCTGGGGGAGGACGTGGTGCTGCCCTGCCACGTCTCCCCCGCGCAGAGCCCCGGGGACACGGAGGTGACCTGGTTCCGGGAACACTTCTCGCCCTTCGTGCACCGCCACAGGGGGGGTCAGGACCTCTATGGGGAGCAGATGCTGCACTACCAGGGGCGCACCAAGCTGCTGAAGGACGACCCGACCAGGGGCAGCGTGGCCTTGAAAATCTTCCGTGCCCAGCTGTCTGACAGAGGGAACTACACCTGCTTCGTCCGCCGCCACACCCAGTACGACGAGGCCGTGGTGGAGCTGAGGGTCACAGGTCTGTGCTCTGTGCTCCAGGTACCTCTAATTTACCTGCTGCTCGCCAGCGCTCTTCTTCCCCATCCTTCCTCCCAGAAGCCATTTCAGGCAGTTGTTTTGGAAATAAGCTTTTATTAAATCCTGCCATTGAAAATACCAAGAATATCTCAGTGGGATGAAGTTGCCTACTGAGCAGCCGTAAGGAGCTCGTGAGGTGTGCTGTGCACTCCAGAAGTGTTCTTGATATTGTTTTCTTTCTAGAAGTGGGTGTAAGAAAAAAATCTGGCATCAGGTAATGAAGTAAGAATGTCTTGGTTCATGGTTTTATATTTTAATATCCAGGCCTGCAGGTTGTTTTGCTGCAGTAGCAGCCTCCAGATCTTTGAGCTATATGAAAAAGACTGCAAGGAATGTCCTGGCTCCAGCTGGCACCGAAAACCCCCTGGGGTTTGTCGATGCCAGAGTTTATCCCCTCTTGCAGAGGAAGAGCCAGGAAGAGCCAGACCTCTTTCCCCTCCACCATTCACCCGGGATCTCTCTCTTCCCGCAGCCAGCGGCTCCGCCCCGCTCATCCTGCTGGAGCAGTACCAGGACGGGGGCATCCGGGTG